ATGTAAAGGGATGTAGAGGTCCAACTCGGTGGGTGGCAATAAAGCAGTGATAGGTTTGTGCCGAATTATTTTCAGACCAAATTTATCCAATACATCCCTCTCGTTACGTCGAAGATATTCAAGTGTCTTTTCCATGCTACCTGGAAAAAAAAAAAAAAGGGTCAGTGAAGGCAAAATATCATAATATAAAGAAATTGATGAAAACCTTTTGCCAAGGATTCAAACCGTTGGGGTGATAGACTCAATCACTGCTAAGGATTCAAGCCGTTGGGGTGACGGACACAATCACTGCCAAGGATTCAAGCCGTTGGGGTGACTGACACAATCACTGCCAAGGATTCAAACCGTTGGGGTGACGAACAAAATCACTTTCAAGGATTCAAGCTGTTGGGGTGACGGACACGATCATTGTCAAGGATTCAAGCCGTTGGGGTGATGGATACAATCACTGCCAAGGATTCAAGCCATTGGGATGACGAACACAATCACTGCCAAGGATTCAAACCGTTAGGGGTGACGGACACAATCATTGCCAAAGATTCAAGTTGTTGGGGGTGACAGACACAATCCCTTCCAAGGATTCAAGCCGTTGGGGGTGAAGGACACAATCACTGTCAAGGATTCAAGCCGTTGGAGTGAGGGACACAATCACTGCCAAGGATTCAAGTCGTTGGGGTGACGGACACAATCACTGTCAAGGATTCAAGCCATTGGGGTGAAGGTACACAAATCACTGTCAAGGATTCAAGTTATTGGGGTGAAAGGACACAATCATTACCAACGATTCAAGCCATTAGGGTGAACGGACACAATCACTGCCAAGGAGTCAAGCTACTCATTGCCATTAGGCTGGAAGGGGCAATGATACCTGCGAACAAACTTTGACGCCTTGCGTGTTACTTACAAAAGAGATAAAAAGACATGAAATAATTAGTCATCGTGATTCATACAATTAAAATTCACTTGCACGAATCACGAGGGGGCAAGGCTGATTTGATTTTCAAGAAGGCAGTAGGTTTTTTAAAAAAAAAGTCAGTTCATATTTTTACAATTGCACTTTAATCAATCAACAATTGCAATACAAAAGGGACCTATGCAATTCTTTTTACATGTGAAGTATGTAATTAAGATGATGTAGCTTTTTGAAAGATCACCATTGAGGAGTTTTAAAGCAAAAAAGATCAATATAATCCGTTGAAGTGCATAAAAAGATCAAGATGGTTGCTGCTTAAAATCCTGCTAAAGTGAGAAAAAAAAACCAAACAGATTGCTGCTTTAAAAAATATATATATATATATATATGGTAGCAGCAGCAGGGAAGAAAAAAGATGCTATGGATAAAAGGCATATTGCATAGCTTCATAAAAGAACTTATTCTTTCTTGAAGAAAAGAAATCTTATGACTTAAAAAATGCATAGATAGAAGTCTTGTTAGGTCAAGGGATGCCACTACATGCAAAATTTATGAGCGTGACATCCATGAAGTTGGTATGGGTGTTAAAACTTTCTTCTGGCAGCAACAAAAAAAAAAAAAACTGACAGCAGGTTATACACATGGGTTCATATGGGCTATAAAAAAAGGTTTATGGAGAAGAAAATTTCTGTTGGAAGGTAAAAAAAAAGAGGAGGTTTCAGATTCTAAAACAAAAAAAAAAAAAAAAAAAAAAAAAAAAAAACAGAGGCTGATCTTAAAAAAAGAAAAGAAAAGAGAACCTGCTTGTATCAATCTCTTAGGTTTGTTGTCTAGCAAAAATTGGCTCTCTTTATTCATATCTAGGCCATATCTGCTAATGACAGCAGGTTATATACATGGGTTTGTATGGGCTATAAAAAAAGGTTCATGGAGAAGAAAATTTCTACTGGAAGGTAAAAAAAGAGGAGGTTTTAGATTGTAAAAAAAAAAAAAAAAAAAAAAAAATAGGCTGATGCTGTTAAGCCTTAAAAAGTGCAAAGATAAAAGTCTTGTTAGGTCAAGGGGTGCCACTGCATGCAAAATTTATGAGCATGACATCCATTGGTATGGGTGTTAAAACTTTCTTCTGGTAGCAGCAGGCTCTCTTTATTCATATCTAGGCCATATCTGCTAATGACAGCAGGTTATATAACATGGGTTCATATGGGCTATAAAAAAGGTTCATGGAGAAGAAAATTTCTGTTGGAAGGTAAAAAAAAGGAGGTTTCAGATTCTAAAACAACAAAAAAAAAGAGGCTGATGCTGTTAAAAAAAAAAGAACCTGCTAGTATCATTTTCTTAGGTTTGTTGTCTAGCAAAAATGGGCTCTCTTTATTCATATCTAGGCCATATCTGCTAATGACAGCATCTTATACACTTGAGTTCATATGGGCTTTAAAAAAGAGGTTCATGGAGAAGAAGATTTCTGCTGGAAGGTAAAAAAAGATGAGGTTTCAAATTCTAAAACAACCAAAAAAAAAAAAAAGAGGCTGATACTGTTAAAAAAAAAAGAGAAAGAAGAAGAAAGACAAACAAAAGAAGAAGGAAGACAAACAAAAGAAGAAGGAAAGCATACCTGATTTAAAGGAGTTTGAAGGGATTCTTTTGTGTCTTCTTTAAAGTGTAAGAACAACTTTTGTTGGAAAGAGAAGAAAGATAATGGCTGGAAAGTTGCTGGAAGGATAAAGATTTTTTGGAAATAAAAAAAATTTGCTGGGAGAAACAAAGCTGCAGTAAAAAAATATATGGTCTGTATGCATGAATAAGTGTTATATAAAGTAAAAAGTCTTGCTTAAGAAAAGAGTTAGTGGTCTCCTAAAAGACTCTAAAGAAGCAAGAGTTTGTGTAGGATTTGAAATACTCTAAAGAAGTAAGAGTTTGTGTAGGATTAGAAATCCTACCAATGCCAATCCATTCTATTCCATTTAGACAACTCCTAAAAAATATATATATATATCTGCTGTAAAAAAAATTTGATCCTAAATAAAAAAAAAAAAAAGAAAAAGTGGCAAGTTGGAGGCCCACAAAAGAAAAGGCCCATTTAAAAAAAAATGGTGGCCTAGAAAGAAAGGTCCATGATGGCCTAGAAAAAATATGCTGTAAAAAAAAATTGGTGGCAAGTTGGAGGCCCACAAAAGAAAGGACCCAATTAAAAAAAATGGTGGCCTAGAAAAGGAAAGGTCCATGATGGCCTAGAAAAAAATCTGCTGTAAAAAAAATGGTGGCAAGTTGGAGGCCTACAAAAGAAAAGGTCCAATTAAATCTTTGGACCTTACCCATGACTCTTATGGAAAAAAGAAAAAAAAGAAAAAAAAAAGAGGTCCCTAAAAAGAGACCCATGCAAAAAAAAAGGCCCATGAAAAGGCCGAAGTCCATAAAAAAGGGGCCCATACAACAAAAATATTAAAAGGCCTATGGACTATAAGAAGCAATCAACTCATTAAAAAAAAAATACAAAACTTGAAAAGTGGCAGAAAGGGACTAAGGCTAAGAAATAATCCCATCCAAGACCTAAAGAGGATCTAGATAAAAGTGCCAATTTGTCGTGACTCGCACAGTTAAGAAAATTCACTTGTGCAAGTCACGAGGGGGCATTTGTTGGCACATAAATTTCAACCAAATTTATGTTTAAATTTCAAATACAATCAATGACATACATAGAGCCTACGATAAGATTGTTGTAGGCAATCACTTCCCAAAATGATTAACTTGCTCCGTTGAAGTGTATAAATAAAACAACGTCGTATCTCAATGACGTTATTCAAGATGCTCAAGTGACACGTGGAGCCTACGAAAGATGACACTTGTAGAGCCTATAGCAAGGACACCATACATGGTGAAATTCCAAAGATCAATCCAGTTAATCAGATATATGATTAATCAGATAGCGCTATTATTCAAAATTCAAACGGCGCTATCATTCAATTTGAAATCAAATTGAAGATAAGGCATTCTTATCACCTGATGGCCCTCTATAAATATGAGGACCATCATACAAGACGAGAGATTAGAAAAATCAAAAAGTAAGAATATTAGAGAGAGAGAGAGAAAGAAATCAAGAGCTAGAAGAAAAGAAGCCTAGAGAATTCAAGAAACTATGCTACAAACGCAGAATGGTGATGAATAGGTAAAGGGTTCCAAACCTAAGAATTGTACTTTGTATTCGAGGGTTCAAAACTCATAACAATTTCAATAAAATATTTATTTTTCTTAAATTGTCTTATGTTATTTATTTTGTTCTTCATTAATCGGAGGTTTTATTTATATAAAATGTGTAATTACCAATCTGGAATACAGATCCAAAAAACTAAACAGTGGACATTTGTAACATAAAATTTTAAAATGTGTTGAAACACTTCATGTTTTAAAATTTGTGTCTACAATGCCATTTCTCAGTGAAAAATAAGTTTGGCACACTCTATTTGCATGATCTTGTTTGCCATACCTAATGTACTAAAACCATTCCAATCTGATGAACTTTTACTTTCAAAATATAAACATTCTTTCCTCAAATGGTTCGTATAAGTCATTGATTTTCGTAGAATTTATTTTGATTAAATGCTTAATTATCAAATTAAGCTCATTGTTGGTTCCTGTACCAAAAAAGTAAAGGGAAAAGAAAAGGAAGAAGAAATAGAAGCTCATTGTTAAATACTCTGGCCACCAAAGGAGAATCCACTAAATGAACCAATCAAATGGTTGGTGGTGATCATTTTTTTTGGTTGCTAACATGGCATGTTCAGAAAAAATGGAAACTTAATTTATTGTACAGTTGAAAACATCACTCTGGTTTTTTCCCTGTTCTTTTTCATCAATCTTGCATTGATTATTTTATTTTATTTATTTTTTGGTACTCTACTATGTTTAATTTCAGTTTAGACATTATCTGACTTTAGTTTTCTTTCTAATGTTGGTGAGTCCCTTCTTTTCCAACCTTGGAATGATGACTGAGACATACCAAGCCAAAATATTGCCAAGGAGATGTGTAGAGTTTAAGAGGAAAACAAATACCATTGATTAATATACACTAATTGGTGTTACTATGCAGATTGTGTTGGGGGACAAAAGCGAGCAGAAAGCATTTAATTACGCAGGAATTACATGTTTTAATCCTGGTTCATTCTCAAACGACAGCACTTTTGTGGCATATCGCCCTTGCACTCGGGAGGTTGAATTATCGGCATTGTGAGCATTAATTTAGTTACTATCTTTGCAATTTATTTGGGCCAGCAATGTAGTCCAGTGCAAGAAGGTACCAAATAGCACATGGGTGATTATTGTTTGGCTGAAATGTCAGGACTAAAGCTCTTCTAATCAAGGTGCAACCGTAGGCTTATCAGCTCTATTCATCTTTAGGGAACTTGTGTAATGTATATTGATTGTTATATTAGGCAGAATAAAGTAGTTATTATTCTGAGATACTGTTTTTTGGGTTAGTACTGAGATACTTTTATATATAACTGATTTTATCTATAACCCAACTCTAGAGTGTTTCTCATTTGCCGAACTGAAACTAAATCAATTTGTATGCACAGAACTAATTGAAATTAGTCTGGAGTGGTAACTTGTTACATGGGTCATAAAAGAATAAAAAATGTTATTTCAAAATTTTTACCAAATGTTTCACATTGGTGTGGGATCACACCCATGTGACACATTTGGTAGAAATTTTGATAAAACCTTTGGGGTCTCTAGAATTATGGTAAAAGAATACATTTTTTTGTGGGATGCCGAGACTAGAAATATCCATCTGGAGAGAGAGAGGGAGAGAGCGAGAGAGAGAGAGTCACCTTAGAACAGAAATGATACATCTCTTTAATTTGGGAGTCTTAAAAGAGTATTAATGATGTGAAAAATCAAAAAAAAAGAAAAAAAAGAGAAAAAAATTAAGGTCAAAACATCACATCATATGAGACTCGCACACCAATTAGAACTATTTGAACTTTTAATTTGGAGCTTTCAATCTTTTTTCACTTTCGAATTGAGAATCCTCATAAACACAAATCCAGGAGGCAGCAGCAACATAGGGCACCACAATTGCATTAGATGAAGTACACGTATTATTTACTTGTAAATTCAATAAACCCAAGTTACCAGGTGGATATTGAAAATGGTTGATAGAAATTTGTAAAATGCTTTGAGGCATATCTAGCATTTTTAGAATGTAATTTGTCCCCACTCTAAAGAGTTCATTGATTTGGTATAGGCAAATTCATCCTCGGACAACAACAAAAGCCTGTGTCTTTTTTTTTTAATTTTATTTTTTTGATGTGTTTAAAGCAACATAGAGATTTTTTTTTTTAAAAAAAAAAGAAAAAAGAAAAAACAGTACTTACGAACCCTTGCAGCATCCACAACAACATCCATGCTTAGTTTTTTTAGGTGGGGAAGAAGGTGGTTGTGGTTGAGGATATCCCCCTGTAGGACCGTATTTGTTGGGGTAATTTACTGGTGGTGGAGCCACATAAGGACATGTAGGGTACCCTTGGACTGGTGGTGCATAGGAGGAATAAGGTGCTGCTGGTGGAGGTGAAGCATACACATCGGCTGGCGTGGGATACATAGAAGGTGGAGGATATGGAGCAGATGGTGGAGGGTGTACCCCTACAAAAATCAACACAGAAAAAAACTTATTGCCACCACTACTGCATAAACCATTTATAGAACAATTGTAGTAATCATTTATTTACCAGTTCCAAGCCCGGGGTTGTTAACAACTCCGTCAGTCCCAAGTTCGGGTTAAGGAGGAGAGTTATGTGTTAGGTAGCCAACAGACAACACGTAAAAAGTCGCTCGGATCCCTTATGACAATGAATCCTACTTTGAATTGTTTAAATGTTAGGTCGTTTCTCTCAAGTGACGCATTGTGCCTGCTTCCGGGTGTTTCGAAAAGTGAACAAGGGGTGCTACATCGACGCTTGGGTGTGGTGAAAAATGGGCAAAGGTTTCTGCTTTTTTTTGGACGAGTGCGGGTAAAGAAGCTAGTCCAAGATTACAAGTTTAGGGTAGCTGCTTGGAATATAGGAACCTTAACTAGTAAGACGATGGAATTGATAGATGTTATGATTAGGAGGAGAGTTAGTATAGCTTGCGTACAAGAAACTAAGTGGATGGGGGAGAAAGCTAGGGAAATTGAGGATACCGGTTTTAAACTGTATTATAGTGGTAAGGATAGACGCAGGAATGGGGTACGAATCATAATTGCTAAGGGTCTTATGGAGAATGTAGTGGCAGTTATTAGGAAAGGAGATATGATTATGTTAGTTAAACTAGTTATTGGAGGGAATATAGTGAACGTTATTAGTGTATACGCTTCTCAAGTAGGATTAGATGATCAGACTAAGAGAGATTTTTGAGAGCAAATGAATGAGATCTTATAGGAGATACCCGTAGGAGAAAACCTGATTATAGGTGGAGGTTTTAATGGCCATGTAGGCATAGATAAACTAGGCTATGAAAGGGTGCACGGTGGATATGGTTTTGGTGACAGAAATGAGGTTGGAAAGAGTATCTTAGATTGTACGTTGGCTTCTGACCTGGTGGTGGCCAATACTAAGTATAAGAAGAGGGAGGACCATTTGACAACCTTTAAGAGTGGGTTAGTTAAGAGCCAAATAGATTACTTCTTAGTGAGAAAAGTGGACCATCTAAAATGCAATGATTATAAGGTGATTCCTGGAGAGAGTCTGGCCTCTCAACATAGAATTTTGGTACTAGATTTATGTTTTAGAGGGCAATACCAAGCTACGAAGGATGGTGGACGTTATAGGACGAGATGGTAGGACCTAAAAGGGCATAAATTATAAATATTTAAGAATAGAATGGATAAGGAAGGTACTTGGGACTTGGAAGATGATACTAATATTATGTGGAACTCAATGGCCAATTGTATGAGGGGAATCTCAAGGGAAGTGCTTGGAGAGTTGAAAGGGACGGGACCTAGCTTTAGAGAAACTTGGTCGTGGAGGGAAGAGGTTCAAGCGGTTGTCAAGGCAAAAAAGAGTGCTTTAAAAAGTGGCAGAAAGATAGAACTGAGGAAAACCTTAAGAGATATAGATTAGCTAATAAGGAGGTCAAAAAAGTAGCGAGAGAGGCTAAATTGAAAGCTTATGATGAACTATACACTAGACTAGATAGTAAAGAAGGAGAGAAGAGGGTATACAAACTTGCTAAGATACGGGAAAGGAAAACAAGAGATTTTAATCAAGTTAAGTGCATTAAGAGTGAGGATTCTAAGGTACTGGTGAAGGATGAAGAGATTAAGGAAAGATGAAAGAGCTATTTTGAGAAACTATTAAATGAGGAACATGGAGGTACGGCAATAGGGGAAGAAATAGCCAGTAATACGATAAACCAAAACTATAGGTTCTATCGCAGGAGTAGGAACTTTGAAGTGGAGATTGCATTTAAGAAGATGAAATCAAATAAGGTTTTAGGATATGATGATATCTCTATTGAAGCTTGGAAATGTTTGGGTAAAAAGGGGGTTGCTTTGTTGACTAGGTTGTTTAGCAAAATTTTGTTGATTAAGAACAGGCTAGATGAGTGAAGAAAGAGTATTTTAGTGCCAATCTATAAGAATAAAGGAGATGTCCAGAATTGCAACAACTATAGAGGAATCAAGCTAATGTGTCATATAATGAAAGTGTGGAAGAGGGTGATGGAACGCCAATTACGAGATATAACCGGGGTGTCAGAGAATCAATTTGAGTTTATGCCTGGCAGGTCAACAATAGAAGCGATTTATCTTTTGAGGAGAGTAATAGAAAAGTATAAAGAAAAGAGAAGAGACATTCATATGGTGTTTATTGACCTTGAGAAAGCATATGAGTGCCCCGGGATATAATATGGTGGGTGTTAGAGAAGAAAGGGGTGACAAAAGGTTATATTGGTGTGATTAGGGACATGTATGAAGGCGTGGTGACCATCATTAGATCGCCTGCTGGAGAGACAAATGAATTTCTTAACACTGTAGGGTTACACCAAGGATCTACCTTAAGTCCTTATCTTTTTGCTTTAGTTATGGATGAGTTGACGAGAAATATTTAGGATGACGTGCCATGATGTATACTTTTTGCAGACGATATTGTGCTAGTGGATGAGACTAGAGAAGGAGTTAACACAAAGTTGGAGATTTGGAGAAAAGCTCTTGAATCTAAAGGATTCTGGATAAGCAGAACTAAGGCAGAGTACATGGAGTGTATATTTAGTAACAACAACAATGAAAGCAGAAGAGAAGTGAAGATTGAGAACCAAGAACTGCCTAAGAGTGAATTTTTTCGTTATTTAGGGTTGATTATCACAACAGTGGGGGAGATTGATGCGGATGTGGCCCATAGGATTAAGGCGGGATGGTGTAAGTGGAGAAATGTGTCTGGGGTACTGTGCGATAACTAAATACCCACTAGACTAAAAGGTAAGTTCTATAAAATGGTTATTAGACTAGCGATGTTGTATGAGACGGAGTGTTGGGCAACCAAGAAACAACATGTAGATAAGATGAGTGTGACTGAGATGAGGATGCTAAAGTGGATGTGTGGCAAGATTAGACAAGACAGAATTAGGAATGAGTGTACTCGAGAATGGGTAGGACTAGCGTCGATAAAAGATAAGTTGAGAGAGAATCGATTGAGATAGTTTGGTCACATTCAACGAAGACCAACAGAGGCAGTAGTGAAGAGACGCGATACTGTACCCGGTAGATGAGAGTGTTAGGAGGCAAGGTAGGCCTAGATTAACGTTGGCTAGCATTATAAATAGAGATATGGATCAACTTAATTTGACTAACGAAATGGCCTTTGATAAGGCTGCGTGGAGAAAAAGGATTCTTGTAGCCGATCCCATTTGATGGGACTTAAGACTTGGTTTGGTTTGGTTTGATTTGATTATTTATTTACCAGTTCCTTTGTTTCGTTTTATTTTGTTTTTTTGTTGGGGACTTGGATCAATTGGTGGATTATAGATATATATGTACTTGTCAAAAGTAAACATTCAGTGACTGGTATGGTCTCAGTACTCAATAGTGTAATATACATAAACATAATTTTTTCTTTGGCGAGAGACCTTATGGAAGTTGCCACATAGAATGTATGCACTCAATTGATAATTGAAAATTTACCTGTGGCTTTGTGTTTGTTCTAATAGTGGTGACTCATGGCCAAACTATGATATATATCGCAAATCAGATGAATTCAGGCTCAGATGAATCTAAGAAGATGAAACTTTTAGGCAGCTGCTGTATATGCAAATGATGGCAGAGTTGTTACATTTGAAAATTAATTCATGCTTAAATTATTCATAATTGACTTCTAAAACATGCGGATTAAGGGAGGGCCTTATCTTTTGACGGGTAGTAAACTTCTTGCGAGGCACAACCTATCATGTTGTGACACGTGGCACAGAAGTTTCTTGGGTATGGAGTGGTCAAAAACAGGAAATTCATGTTTGGATTCAATTTTCAACTTGAGAGGACAGGATGAAAGTTACTGTTAATGGGGGTAGATTGCTTCTACTTCTAGATGATGTGCATGCTGTGCTCTTTTTAAATTGGTGAAATTTCAATTCAGCAGAATTTGGGGAAAAATATTACATTTCAGTGTGATTTTTAAAATTTATAATAGAAGTGGGAAGATGAAAAATTATTTCGAAGTTGTGAAATCTCACTTTTTCTAGACCATTTCAGCCAGTAAAAACTGTTAGGCCAAGGTTGGTCCATGCAGGTCATGTTATAGTACCCTCGCCCTGAAGTTTTGCAGTATTTTTTTTATTAGAACAGAATTGTAAAGAGATTTGAGTGAAGTCACTACTAGAAAATGGACCTTTTGCAGCGATGCGATTATCTTTGCAAAAAGCATTATTTGCAACCAACGACATACTTTCCCATACTTTTCTGTCTCTAATGCCACTGTTTGCGATGGCATTTTGCCATGGCAAAAAATTAGTTTGTAACAGAATTTCAGAACTTTGTAATTGTATTGCCTGCAGTGAATTTGATGTTTTTGCTTCTGCAGAAATAAAACATATTGCCAAACTACATATATTTTGTATTTTGTATTTTGTATATTTGCTTCGTTATGGTTTATTACACATCTGGTGTGATACACCTAAATGATTAAACCTCTTTTATCTGAACGTATTTTTATCTCATAAGATATAAGCAGAAATTGTATCAAATACTTTAACAGAAATTCTGAAAAATAACTTAAATAATAAAAAAAACTATAAACGGCTCTAATAAATTGCACCAAATAAGGCCAAACTCTTGATTGTTGTATGCAAGAGCTTCATGTTTTAGGCCGAATGGCAACACCTTTGATGGCCAGACCCCTCTTCCACTGCCCACCATTGTATTCATATAGAGAGAACTGAATGTCTTCAATCTTTTCCGGGGACATCCTAAACTCCCCTGCAGGTATTTCAATCCATTGTCCCCTCGGCTTTTGCATCAAATTTTCTTGGTGCTGTTGAGTGGTTCCATCTGGTGTTATGAGCCTGAGGTTCACTGGAACTTCCCACCCGTAACTTGGATCTTTCAACATCACCACAAATACAACCTCGTATGCTACTCCATGTGAGAGATTTGCTGTCTCAAATTTGCCATGAATATCTAGCCAGCAAACATTTAACAGCTCCGCAACGTCAATAGACTCATTACTGCAAAATGAGAAGTGAACAAAACTCTGTTAGAGAAATTGGAGCTTGTGGATTTTGCTATAGACAAGAATGATTGTGGAGCAAGTTAGGGTTTGACATGACTTTGATTTCCGTCAAAGATCAAAGTTGATTTTACATGCTAAATCCTTGACAATTTGTTTTGGTTGCAAAGCCAGTTCAATGTAACTACCATAGCCATGGGACACCATAAACCTGGAAAGGCAGGTGGGGCACTAGTTCAATGGTTAAAACTTAGTCCTTTTAACTTTGGAGTTGTAGGTTTGAATATAAGGACAGTTTGTGCAAATAATGTCAATGGTTAATTCTATACTTAAATCTATATCTCCCTTGCTGTTAGAATTCCTAGTGGCGTGGTTCAACTTCTTTCCAAAAATGGTGATAAGACTTCATACATCTTACCATTTCCGAATCCCATTTTAATAAGCACATCGTGCACCACGTACTTTAGTGGTATCGTGGTCCATGTTCGATTCAACCCAATATCATTTTAATTTTTTATATCCAGAGAATAGAGATAACCTTTGTTGTAGCTAGTTTATACCTGGTTTCATTGAGACAGGGCCAGTGCCAATAACGGTTGTCTTGAGCCCAAGTGATTGAGAGATCCCTTGCATATAACATGAAGCAGTTGCTGTTTGTCTTCCTTTCTACCCAATACTTCTGCATCAAATTATTATATTAACGAAGTTTAATTTATGCCAACCATTAACAAAAGGGTACACACCAATTGATATTCAATGCTAGTTTTTGGAGATACGAATGCCAAATTATGTAAATTTCCAGCATATGTACTGAGATAAAATGAAACTTTGAGACTTACCTTCCTCTTTTGGTTTAAGAAAACTCCAGATTGGAGCTGATCATAGAGCATATCTATAGAGGACTTGACAATTGGTGAGTCTGCATCTTTGATAATGGCTTCATAGTTATGGGGTAACTTATTCACTTCTGCTGCTGTTGTTGTAGTCCCATTAGCCTTAGAATCAATATTGCCAGAGCTCTGTGACATTGTCATCTTGGGCTCTTTTTTATCCTGTGGAGGAGCCTCTTCTCTAATCAGTGGAGCATGCACCACTGGCCACCCTGATCCCATCTCATCACCCGCATTATAAAACTGTGCATGGAGATCTCTTTGTATTTATAGTGTAATGGGATTATTCTAGGGAGAATTACACCAATGGTGCACATACCTTGACTGTGGTATCAATTTCGTTTTTCTAACTTCAATTGCATTGATTTTGACATTTAATTTTTCATGTTAGGTTAATTTGATTTAATTGATAATATCCATTAAGAAATTGAACAAAAATTAAGAACAAAATGGTGGTTTCTCATGGTGGTGGCCGTGGCAAGGGGAGGTGATGTTGTGGGGAAGTTGAATGGGTGAGAGATAAAGGGAACTAATAAAATGTAACAAATCATATATGAGAGGGAGATTTATGATCTGGAATTGGGCCAAGGTAACGGCTGAGCAGGTTGAGAGCCTAATGGTGATGGCCGGCGATCCACCCGGAGATGGGCTGCCAGAACTTGGGCCGGGCAGGAGTTGGGCCAAGTATGTGCCGCCCCTGATCGTAAAGTAGTTGCCCGGCAAGGAAGAGCTCGGTTGAACCGAGCTGCTTGATCAGCGGATGGAGGAAGCCAGTCAAGCTGAGTGACCGGCGCCCGGAAAGGCGTGGTCAGCTGAGGTAATCGTTTGATCGGCAGGAAGGCCGACCACAGGAAGTGCCCCGGGCTCAGCTTTGCCGAGATGCCGCGTAGCCCGGTCTTCCTTAGACTTAGGCAGTAAAGTGCTTGGGTATGAAGCACAGCAAGGCCGAGAATGGAGCAGCTCAACTGCCGAGCTCCAGCTGAGAAGGCAGGCAGTTGAGATTAGGTGATGTTCAGCAAGGTTTACGCTGACAGATGGGATAGCGGAGCCACGTGTTAGGAGATGACTGGGAGTGGATATGGGGCGCAGAGGATATATAAGCATATCTGCGCCCCCCATACGTAGCAGAGGAACACTTTGTAAGAAAACTCTTACACTCTAACACTCCTCTCTCTCTCTCTCTCTATCTTAAGGTGTGTGCTAACTTGATCGTCGGAGGGTTTCTCCGGCCACACACCGCCGGACAGCTCACTGTTATTTGCTCGCAGGTGATCGGACATAAACGGAGCTTGGAAGAAAGGAGTACGGGCTCGCCGGAATATTTGCTCCCCGTACAATTGGCGCTGTCTGTGGGAAGAAGACAGACAAAACCTTGTCTTCCAGGCTCATCTGATCGCCGTCCATGGCGAACAACGACGAGTTTCCGTTGTCTGCCATAGACGGAGCCACCCCGGAGTTCACCCGAAGGAGAGAAGGTCCTCCCGCCATCCATCCAATGGCGGACTTGGGGACGCCCACCGGAGGACAGTCAGGAGACGCGCGGGATAAGCGCGGAAGAAGTCATGGTCATTCCCGGAGTCCAGACGGTCACCGGCGGAGGAGAGACTCACACGCCAGACGACTGGAAAGTAAGTTGAGGGACCAAGACGCTGTCATCCGGCGATGGCGGCGGAGATGGAGGATCTGAAGCGGCATGTCAAAGGGAAAGGTGTAGCTGGAGTGGGAGACCACAGTGAGCACACCCTATCCAGCCGTTCAGGCGGTCAGAGTCAGCGACGTACCCAGTCCATATCCATTACCAGAAATTACCAGGTTGGTGATTCCGACGCGCATGCAGAAAAGTCTAGCGCGCAAGACAGCACCTACAAACCCTCACGTCCGGCGACGACGTCGAGGTACTCTTATTCCGCTCATTCAGAGGATTTACGGGCGATCTTAAAGGAGCGGGCTCGCCGGCGCGAAGCTCAGAGAATACCGGCTTTCCAGCGGCTATCCTACGGGGTTCACACCAGCGAGGAGGTCGGAATGCCTCCACCCCGCCAAGCAGTACCACTCTTTGAAGATACGGACTTGGCCAGGATGAGCGCCACCCATTTTTCTCTGGAAATAGAAACAACATCGCTTCCGGCAGGCTTCCACCAGCCTAAGTTCACACTCTACGACGGAAAAACCGATCCTTACATGCATGTGAGCCACTTCCGACAGGTTATGGCCGGACATAGGTGAAATGACGGACTGATGTGCCTAATCTTCCTGTCAAGTTTAGGCGAGCTGGGCTTAAAGTGGTTCGAGAGGTTGCCGGAAGGAAGCATACAAAGGTGGCATCAGTTGGCCGAGGCGTTTGTTACACGCTTCAAAACCAACACAAAAACACCGAAGGAAGTCGATCACTTGCTGAGTGTCAAGATGGAACCGTGCGACACATTGAAGGCGTACAACTCAAGGTACTGGTAAACCTTCAACGAGATCTTGGACTGCCCGGTCAACCTCGCAATCACGCAATATAAGCGTGGTCTCCCGGTCGACCATAGATTGCGGGACTCGCTGACCATGCACCAACCGACCTCCATGGGCCAGCTCATGCAGCGTATCAATGAGCACATCCGAGTAGAGGATGACGCGTCAGCTTTTACCGTGAAGGCAATTCCGGTAGCAACAGACAAGAGGACAGCAGGCAAAGTGCACGCAGTTGGGCAAGAGTCCAGCCGCACAAATGAACGAGCAAAGGAATCAGACCGTGGCTCGAATCGCAAAAACCGGGGTAGAGGACGTCGGAACAACCGGGATGACTACGCCCGAGATGATGTTGCGGATGCCAACAGAAGATTGAAGGCAAGGATTGGCATCACCATGGTCTTCAAGATTCCAATTTATCGCATACTTAGTGAAATCCGAGACGAGGAGTATGTCCGGTTTCCTGCTAAGTTGGGCGATGGACAAAAGGGCTACAATCCGCGGTATCGTTGCACATTCCACCGGGAGAGGGGCCACCGAACAGAGGATGTTTTCCTTTGCGGCAAACACTTCAGAAGAGTGGTCGCGCCGGGCATCTAGATCTTTAACATTGATGGCGCGTAAAGCCGAATCAGGCTCCGGTCGATCCCAGGGGACAGGATGAACCGAGACGCACCACCCGCACAGGGAGTTATTAAATGTCATCCACGGCAATCGTGGAACCGGAGCGGTGTTTGGCGAAGCTCGCGGGCATGATAAAAAAGGTAGAACATAATGCGGGAAGTTTTGGTCGGTACGCCTGCCTCAAAAAGGGGGAAAGCTGAAGAAAAAGACGTGATTAGATTCCACCTCAAAGGACTAAAAGCGTATCCAGACGCCGCACAACGATTGCCCTAGTAAATAACACTACCCGCAGGAATTTGAATGTTATAACGGATCTTGATCGATCAGGGAAGCTCGGTCGAGATCATGTATTATGATGCGTTAAGCAGCTCAAACTTCCGGGAAACAGACTTGGCCTCTGGCAAACCCTCGCCACTCGGTCTGATTCACTCAACAACCGGAGTGGCGCCTTGGAAGATTATTCTGCCCGGTTAAAGTGGGATCCGTGGTCCAAGCAAGTGGAGTTTTGGTGCTACAAGTTGCCTTCGACATATAACCTTATCCTTGGAGGGGTCGGCTTCACGCTATGCAAGCTGTAGCGTCAACTTTACCACCAGGTGATGAGATTCGTTCCCTCGGCTTGGGGGTATCGAGGAGAATTTGGGGTGATAGGTCATGTCCAAGCAGTGCTTGTGGCCTAGTCCAACGGAAGCCGGGCTGCCAAAGGATTTGTTCAAATGATTGAGGGACCGGAGGACCTGGGTGTCTTGGATGATGTGGGCACCAAGGCCGAAGATAAGGCTGTTGAAGAATTGGATGAGGTGCGGATTGATACAGAGCAGCCGGACAAGTTCTTCTTGCTCGGCTCAAGTCTCACGGCCATAGAGAGGACCGAGATGGTTGAGTTTTTGATGGCCAACATCGAAGTCTTCGCGTGGTCGCCTTACGACATGCCTGGCCTCGATCCAAGTTTCATCTGCCATCACCTCAATGTTTTCCCTGGAGCAAAGCCAGTCATCCAGCGAACAAGGAGATCGACATTGCATCACGCCGAAGTAGTTACAGAGGAGGTGAAGAACCTGCTTGAGGCACGAGCAATTCAGGAAGTGCATTACCCTCGGTGGATTTCTAACACTGTAGTCGTACCCAAGAAGAATAGAAAGTGGTGAGTTTGTGTCGACTATAAGACAGTCAACCGAGCTTGTCCCAAAGATAGCTTCCCCTTGCCGCGAATTGACCAGCTTGTGGACTTGACGGCTGGACATAATAGGCTCAGTTTCTTGGATGCCTACCGCGGCTACCATCAGATCGCCATGCATGGGCCTGACCGAGAGATCACCTCTTTCACGACTCCAAGGGGACTCTTCTGCTACCGAGTCATGCCTTTTGGTTTGAAGAACGCCGGGGCAACCTTTCAGAGGATGGTGACCAAAATGTTTGCTCCTTTGATTGGCCGGACAATGGAGGCTTACATCGATGATATGGTGGTAAAGAGCCGACATGAGGCAGCACAAGCTGCGCTTGAATGCATCAAAGTGTGCCTTTGGCGTGGGATCCGAAAAATTTTTGGGGTTCTTAGTCACGAACCGAGGCATCGAAGCAGACCCTACTCAGATCAGAGCCGTGCAAGAGTTGAAGCAGCCCAGCTCGGCTAAGGACGTGCAGTATCTGGCCGGGATGGCCGCCGTGCTTAATCGGTTTATAAGCCGGTCATCAGATCGCTGCCGCCCTTTCTTTCAAGCGTTGAAGTCAAAGTTCTCGTGGGACGAAGAGTGTGACCGAGCTTTGGCCGAGCTCAAGGAATATCTGTCCTCTCCGCCACTGTTGGTTACACCAAAGCCGAGTGAGGAGCTCTACCTTTACCTCGCCGTCTCCCAGCACGCAGTCAGTGCGGTGCTAGTCCGTGCTGAAGGAATCAAGCACCTCCCAATTTTTTATGTCAGTAAGACCTTGCTGCCGGCTGAGACGAGGTACTTGCCGCTGGAAAAGCTTGCGTTGGCATTGATGATGGCTTCAAGGAAGTTGGCGCATTATTTTCACGTCCATACCATCGTCGCACTGACCGAGTTTCCCCTCAAGGCCTTGTTTGAACGGGCGGACTTTTCAGGCCGAATTCTTAAGTGGGCGGTCGAGTTGGGACAGTTTGATGTGAAGTTCCAGCCGTGCACTGCAAT